GTGCTGCTTTAGTCTCCTACGCGACATTAGGAAGAAGAAGACGCAAAAGAAGGAAATGGACAGTCAGAAAGACAAACAAGATATTACAATTGCCTGTGCTTTGTATCGATGTCCTCGTCTAATAACTGCTGTGTCGCTTTGTTTCAGAAGGTCACTGTACTTCGCAGAGGTTTCTGGATAATGATATGCCTTTAGAAATTGAAACGACATATTAGTTATTCATGAAGTCACAAGGCTGCAACGATTTCTCAGCCGGTGTGTTGGGTTATCTATGATTTTGTAGAGTAATTTTTTCAACAGATTAATGAAATGTTTCACAACAGGCCTACTAATGTGCTCTGAAATGTAACCAGGTGCACCTCAATTTAAGAGAAGAGTAATTTGTGAATTATTTTTATATTTAAAAAAGTCATTATTTATAAAATATCTAGAGACACCAAGCAGATGGCTTCCATATTTATGTCAAGACTTTGTCATTTGATATTTTCAACTAGATGTTAAATTCCATAATCTTTCACAAGGAGGGGGTAAACCTTTCCTCCATAGTTACCTCAAGGCATAACATATAAAGAAACTCAAGTACATGTTTTAAATTACATAAAATTGGTTTGGAACACACATATATATATATATATACATATATATATATATATAAGCAATGTAATGTTTTAAAAATAAATGGTTATTTCAGGAGGCTTTATTATTTTCCGATTATCGAATTTCATGACCAGATTTTCTCTATTAAAATTGAATGTTCGTCCCAGAATTTTAGTTTATTCTACAAAAAGAGCCTGAATTTTAAAAAAAAGAGGCTGAGAAGCACTTGTTATGATAACTCCATAAAAGACTAAATTGCGTTCAAATGTCTGAAAGAAAATTTAAAAAACTTCTTTTAAAAATATATGTCTACATTTCTGAGATGAGGTATTATGTACATTATTTACATTATTCGGACTATTGTCCTCATCTTTGTCGTCATATTTATTACAACGTTTCGGCCGTTGTACACTCCGGCCTTCTTTAGGTGGTTGGAATGTCGAACCACAAAAGCCACAAAAATGTGGAACCACAGGGCAAAAAAAACTCCTGAGCCGACCAAGCATAGAAATGAATACAATATGGGAACCAGTAATAAGGAGTACCAGAGAAAAGCGATAATAATAACAAAAAAAAAAGTTGCAATATGAGCTCTGGTTAAAACATAATGATAATAGCTAAAAAATTGCAATATGAGCACTGTTAAAAATGGTTGCTGAAGACATTAGGTTTATATTACACAGTAATTCATGGGCACATGGCACAGTGGATAAAGGCGTTGGTTAGATCCAGTGACAGGACCCAAAGAGTGTGAGTTCAATACTTCCCTCGGAAGCCATAACAAAGTAAGCCGGGCTTGATCTTGCATAGTTTCATCCAATGTTTCTACGTTTTAAAAACTAAACCCGTGACTCGTTAAGAAAAACTTACTACTTATTGCCACTACACATTAATTTCTAGTCCCCCCATAATACTAAATAAAAATATAAAAATTACAATTGTAAAGCTATACCGGGAAATTTTTACTTAGTGACTCCCATTATCATATTTTGGGCATAAAAGGATTTGACGTAAAAACCTAAAATTAACACCTTATTTTTTTTTAGAAACCAATAATTTTTTAAGAAAGTCACAATATTTATTAGATAATTTAACGTTATATATATATATATATATATATATATATATATATATATATATATATAATTGCATATATTAAGAAAGGAATGTGTTGGAAGACCTCATAACAACTTTCTAGAAGTGGAAGTTTAAAAGGGAAACGTACGGCATAAAAAAAAATGTACAGACATCCTATATGGTTACATGTTACACAATATACGAAAAGGCTGACATTAGGTAAAAATGGGTAGACAGTGTCCTGGACGGTGTGGAACTTCTTTCACGGCGACGCAGGGATTGGAACTCAACCGTGATAGATGGAGGGAGCTGGTCAGATGTTCAGCTGCACTCCGATCCTACGACCATACCTGGTCATGAAACAGATGATGATGATGATGTTAACTGATTAGTTTGTTTAACGGCACATCAACCCCTCATGGGTTATTTATTACCGGAATTTAATCTTCTTATGACCTTGGAAATAATAAAAATATGATATACAGGGGGTCCATAAAGTTCGTGTGCACTTTAAAAAGTTATAACTTTATTTTTATTTGCGATAGAAATAATTTGTAAAATGATTAGAAAGAAGCAAATCTATATTTTCTAAAGTTTTATTGAAATTTTATTTAAGTTTCCACATGTCCTCCATCATTAGCAATACAAAGGGTAATAAGATTTTGCAGTTCACGGAAAATATTTGCCAACTGATTTACAGTAATGCCTGAAATCACATTAGTTATTTTAGCTTTCAGGACTTCTAATGAACTAGGTTTGGTTGCATACACAATTGTTTTCACATGTCTCCGTAAAAATCTAATGGAGTCAAATCTGGCGAACGTGGAGGCCAATAAAATTGTCCAGCCCTTCCGATCCATCTGTTAGGAAATTCCTGAATTGGAAACTCTCTAACACGCATAGCAAAGTGACAAGGAGTCCCATCTTGTTGAAACACTGTATTATAAGATTTTTGACAGATTATTTCTGTGGCAAATACAAATAAAGATATGATTTTTTAAATTGCACACGAACTTTATTGCTACCCTGTATGTTATTCTGCTTTCACAACTGAATACATGGTAGATGATACTCAGCTTTTGTGCATATACAAGTTTGTGCAGACATAATTACTGGAGCGGATGGTATCTGTGTTTTATGTTGTAGTTATTGTTAACTTATATTTTGGAATACAGTTTGATTTCTTTGAGAAATTGTACGATATTATATGGCTTAATATCATGAAAGAGTTCTTTTATGTTGGTTGTTTATTTGGTTTATTTTTTTCAGCGTCATATCAACCTTTGTGGGCTATCTAATGATGAAATCTAAATATTTTTAACGCAATTTTATGGCCTCAATGTATATTTCGAGCACAGTTGTAACACTTGAACTTCAAATAAAATGTATTGTTGATCATCTTGCTTTAAAATGTATTGTTAATAATTCTACTCTATCTAATATAAAATGTATTGTAAGTCACTATAAAATATTGTTGCTAATTCTACTACAAAATATATTGTTGCTATTTCTACTATAAAAAATATTGTAGGTAATTATACGATAAAATGATGTGCTAGTCATTTTGTTTAAATATTATTGTTGCTCACTTGTCTATAAATGTGTATTTTCGGTCATTTTACGATAAATATCTATTTTTAATCACCCCACTATGAATATGTATTGATGGTAATTTTTTATACAAAAATATATTGTTGGTAAACCAACTACAAAACGCATTTATATACATTTATAATGTTTTATTTTTCTTAGTGACTTCATTGTACACTATTTACATTATTAGGACTATTGTCCTCATCTTTGTCGCTATATTTGTTACAACGTTTCGGCCGTAGTACGCTCCGGCTTTTTTCAGGTGGTTTGAATGTCGAACTGAACCCTTTATTTAGCTCCGTGGGGTAGACAGTTCTAGTTCCACGTGCCATGTCTAATAGATGTCATTTATCAGTTATCTCCTGTTAATTCCCCTCTCAAAGTACTCCACTGTTATAACCCGATATTGAACTCACACTCTTTGGATCTAACTAAGGCCTTTATCCACTGTGACGAAACGTTGTAATAACTATGGGGGACAAAGATGAGGACAATAGTCCGAATAATGTAAATAGTGTACATAATACCTCATCTCAGAAATATAGACAGATACTGAAAGGACGAAACGTTGTAATAAATATGGCGATAAAGATGAGGACAATAGTCCGAATAATGTAAATAGTGTACATAGTACCTCATCTCAGAAATATAGACAGATACTGAAAGGCCGAAACGTTGTAATAAATATGGCGATAAAGATGAGGACAATAGTCCGAATAATGTAAATAGTGGATATAGTACCTCATCTCAAAAATATAGACAGATACTGGGTTCACTGTATTGGCATAACTAGGACCCTAATAGGCGCTACCACCTCGAATCAGGGTGGACGTGGGAACAACAGCAATTGAGATGTGATTACAGGCAGCTCAAAACATCCAATCTTCCGATCAGTGGCCTTGCTGTCGGGTGTAGTTTATCGTTATATCCAGGACTCTGATAATGATTACGATGACTAGGGTGGTAGTAGTGATGATGATTTTGATGGATCCATACTAGATTCTAAGGTGGCAATTAATGATTTCATTTTTTTAAAATGAAATTTTGGCAAAGCTTCGACCAAATCAAAGAAAGCCCAATAACGCATGGATTGAAAAATGTAATCAAAACAAATAGTAAAAGAGGATATGATTCAAAATAATATGGAATAAAACCAGTTAATATTAATAAATTTATGAAAATTATGGCTTATCGTCACATCACGTTGAAACAACCTTTCTCGTACGATCACTAAAATTAATTGTGCCTGATCAGTAACTAGATCACTGACCACTTAAAAATACCAAGTGCTGTAAGCTTGGATTTGCGGATGGTATAATGAGTGTACAACCATACCACATTGAAATACCGCTTCTAATACGATCAGCGAAGTTAATTATCGTTGAGTCTGGTTAGTATCAAGAATGGTGACTGCTTTGGAATACCAAGCGCTGTAATCTTGGATTTGCTGGTGGTATAATAAGCTTATGGCCATATCACGTTGAAAAATCGGTTCTCGTACTATCAGCGAAGTTAAGACACATTGTCTGTACCGGAATGGGTAACCGCTGGGGAATACCAAGCCCTGTAAGTTTGAATGTGCGAGCAGTATAATGTGTTTACAACCATATCATGTTGAATCAACGGTACGGTCAACGAAATTAAGCAACGTTAAGCATGTTCAGTACCTGGATTGGTAAATGTTTTGGAATACCAAGCGCTGCAATTTTGGATATGAAAGTGGTATAATTAGCTTACGATCATATCACGTTGAAACACCGCTTCTTGTATGATCAGTGAAGTGAAGCAACATTGAACATGGTCAGTAGCTTGATGGGTGACCGCTTGGGAATGCCAAGTACTGTAAATTTGGATGTGAGAATGGTATAATAAGCTTACGACCATATCACGTTGAAACACCGGTTCTCGTACGACCAGCGAAGTTAAGCAACGTCGAGGCTGGTCAGTACCTGGATGCCTGGCCGCTTGGCAATCTCAAGCGCTATAAGCTTGGATGTGCGAGCAGTGTAATGGGTAATGTCCTGGACTTGTTAGAGAGACGAATTTCAATTCCCGTTCGTTTTGTTATTTTCACATACAATTGAGAAATTTATGAACCCAGCTCGACACCCCCAGCTGTGAGTTAACTATTAAGATTTCTATCACAAAAATATTATAACCTATAAAAAATTCTTACAATCTAAAAATATTTTCTGGCTTTAAATAATCTGCAAAGAGTTGACAAGTCATGAAAAACGAACGAATCAATAAATAAGACACTTCATGATGAAAGTCAAAGTATATTGATCAAAATAACACAAATGAAGATACGAAAAAATAATTCTATCGAAAAAAAAAACAGTGCTTTATATCCGTATTTCAGAAATCATTACGAAGGCCAGAAAATGTATCGGCCGAAAATGTCTGCTCAAAACACAATATTTTCATACGGATCTGATTACGCGATCGAAAAGTGATAAGTTTACAAGCTGCAAACATCATTATTAAGGCTGGAGGTAGTATCGGCTGAAATACACTGATAAATCAAAGTTAAGCACAGTGGAATTTTTTCTAGATTCACTGAAAATCGAATATAGATATTTTAGCCCACTAAGAATCGTCGCAGTATCAATAATCTTTGTTTTGATTTTGGGTGATTTTTTAAACCGTACTTTAGTTAATAGATGAAATCGACGTGTCATCTGCAAAAGATTGGTAGGATATTATCACAGGCTGCAAGGGAAAATAAATAAAACTGACAAGAGATTACTTGCTGTCGACTACGGGTTATCGTTTTAATTATATCAAGAAAAGTGATATATCTGTTCCGTATCAGTGCTCAGAAAAAGCGATTGATTTCTATCGAATCTTTCAGATAAGGCTATGAGATTTTGGCATTGTTTCCTGTCATCTGGAAACACAGAAAATACTCACGTCTAGTACTGAGGCGTTTAATTTATTTAGAGTTTGAGAATTTAATTTTGGTATCCATTCTGCCGGATGTGTCGTTAGAGTGACGGTTGCTGTCATGACAAACGGAATTGGCGAACCATGTTCAAGTTCCGTTTTAGTCTGTGGGGTTTATTTTGTTGTAATGAGCCACGGAAAGGCAGGATTAAGTTTCTTCTCATCCGTGACCTCTTTCTATGGGTTGAAGAGTAAAAGAGTCCGAATTCTCTTGTCAAAGGTGGTATGGAGTCTAGGAAAAGGAAAACTCTGAAGTGAAAGCTCGGAAGAAGAAAACTACTGCACTATATTTTCCAAGAAATGTAGAAGGGCACGTGTGTGTGTGTGTTTGTGCGTGTGTTTGTGCGTGTGTTTGTGTGTGTTTGCCTGTGTGTTTGTGCGTGTATTTGTGTGTGTCTTTGTGTGTGTGTGTGTTTTGTGTGTGTGTTTTGTGTGTGTGTGTGTGTGCAATGAAATGTAGAATGTCACGAGTGTGTGTTTGTGTATATATTTGTGTGTGTGCTTGTGTGTATGTAGAAGGTCACGCGTGTGTGTTTGTGTGTATGTTTGCGTGTGTGTGTGTTTTGTGTGTGTGCAATGAAATGTAGAATGTCACGAGTGTGTGTTTGTGTATATATTTGTGTGTGTGCTTGTGTGTATGTAGAAGGTCACGCGTGTGTGTTTGTGTGTATGTTTGCGTGTGTGTGTGTGTTTTGTGTGTGTGCAATGAAATGTAGAATGTCACGTGTGTGTGATTGTGTGTGTATTTGTGTGTGTTTGTGTGTGTGCGCACAATGAAATGTAGAAAGTCACGTGTGTGTGTTTGTGTGTGTATTTGTGTGTGTGTTTGTGTGTATGTAGAAGGTCACGTGTGTGTGTTTGTGTGTATGTTTACGTGTGTGTGTTTGTGTGTGTGTGTGTGTGTGTGTGCAATGAAATGTAGAATGTCACGTGTGTGTGTTTGTGTGTGTATTTTTGTGTGTGTGTTTGTGTGTGTGTGGGGGGGGGCGCAATGAAAGGTAGAAGGTCACTTGTGTGTGTTTGTGTGCGCGTGTTTGTGCATGTGTTTGCGTGTGTGTTTGTTTGTGTGTGTGTGTTTTTTTTGTGTGTGTGTGTGTGTGCGTGTGCGTGTGTGCAATGAAGTTGGCTTGCCGATTAAAGATTGACAAGCAATTGGAATTTTTTTTATTATTTAACATCTCATTAACTCCAACATTTCATCAGTTACTCCCGGCCAGCCTCCAGTACGCGACCGTCGTCGTCGCTCACCGGCTCGACACGATTAACCTACATTCTCCTCTGTTGTCCAAGATCGTCTGCTTAAAACCACTTTCAGGCAGTTCTTGATATACAGGATTCAGTTAGACATTGCATAAAGGTTACCATGTTCGATAAACACCTAAACATTAGTCCGAATGTAAATCTATACATAAAATTCTGTGACTTCTGTTAGTCTGTCTGTCACACCCTCTAAAATAGCCATACATTGATCAATCAAAAATAAAATTTGGAGGAGAATTGCAAATAGGTAAGGCGATACAAGATACGGTTGGTTTTACTAGAGTGCGTATGTTAGTACAATATATTTTCATTAATTGTTTTGGACAAAATAAGAGTTTTATTATTTAACATACAAAATACTCTCAGTATTTCAAAAACAATTTAATGATAATAATAATAATAATAATTCAATACTGTCGTTTGCATTTTTTCTTCTAACTTTTCTTCTAAGATTCCCCATTCTACGTCCGCAGGGTCAAGTCATTCTCATTCTCTTTGTATTCCATTTATCACTCTTTTATGTATAAATTCTGTGACTTTTGTTAGTCCGTCTGTCACATCCTCAAAAATAACTATACATGGACCAATCAAAGCCAAATTTTGAGGAGAAGTCCAAACAGGTAAAGGAATACAAACTACAATTAGTTTTACTCGGGTGCGTAGCTTAGTACAATAAATCTTCATTAATTTGTTTTGGAAAAAATTAGAAGTTTTATTATTTAACATACAAAGTACTTCCACTATTTTAAAACAGTTTAGTTGTTAAAATAACAAATAATTATTTGATAAAAATGAAATATTGTTTTTTGCCTGTCTTTTTTTTAAGTTTTTATATATACAAGAATCGAGTTTCCAGTTCGCCGTTTGCAAGACCTATAACAAACAACAAGATCAAACGTTTCAAAAAGTTGGAATTTGAATCGAGAAAGGAATATTTATGAACGGACAGCTGTATGTTGCATGCTCAAGAGTAAGAAACCCTAAGATCTTTTACTTCACCATTAAAAAGCATAAAGGAAAAAGGGAAAAAGATAGTCTCTAAAAAATATTGCTTACCATGAAGTTTTATAAAATTAAATTAAATTAAATAAAAGAAATTATTAAACTGCGAAGTAGAGTTATTGTCAAAGTATTTTTAGATTTTCTTCAACAATAGTAAACACTGTGAGAATTTCAACATGGGTCAGAGTGTTGCAAAAAATTTCTAGTCTATCAAATATTCCAAGAAATAAGATTGAAGATAAAAAAAAAAGTATTGTTTATCAGGAAGTCCTATAAAATTAAATTAAATTAAAGAAATTATTAAACTGCGAAGTAGGGTTTTAGTCAAAGTATTTTTCAAAACAAATCAGCTTATTCAAATTTCATCGATTGGTTTACGAAAGTGAATAAAACGTGATGTTTGTATATCTCGACAAAAATGTTAGCTTCAACGATACTAAATAATGCAAGTATTTCAAATTCTAGTAATAGAAATAATGACAATTTATTATCCCGGAAGTTCGGACGAGATTCTTCTAAATCTCTGGGGAAAGACACATGTACAAAAAAAAATCCTTTTCGGCGAAGTATGTCATTGCAGAAAAAACGTGGCAGATGCAGAATCGTTTAAGTGCTATTATTTACATATATTTTTTTAACGCCATCGAAATTAATTTCCGAAACTTATAGCGCCGAAGTTATATCTTCATATCCGGAGAAGTTCAATCCGTGCAAGAAGATTTTCCTCTTGCTCCACTTGAGCGACGCTTGGTTGACTGGCTGATTTTGTTTATCAGCATATAACACCTCTATGCCTTATTTAATGTCGAGATCTAAATATTTTCAACACAGTCTTATGACTTCAACTAAAGATAAAATTTATTGTTGGGAATTCTGCTATGAATAATTTCTATTGGTATTTCTACTATAAATAGATATTGTTGGTAATTCTGCTAAAATAGGTATTATTGTTAAGTCTATAACTAGGTACTTTGGGTGATTCTATACTAAATAAATATTACTGTTAATCCTCCTGTGAATAGGTATTGCTTATAATCCGATTATGAATAGGTATTGTTAGTAATCTTACTATACATAGGTATTATTGGTAATTCTACTATTAATAGGTATTGCAGGATTTATTTTTATCATAAAAATGTATTTTTATACTATCATAGTCATTTGTTTATGTTTGTGAGTTCATTATTTACCGATTGATAGGACTCTAAAAAATGCTATCACCTCGGGTCAGGGTGGACCTTGGAACAACAGTAATTAAGAGGTGGTTCATCGCTCCTCAAAACATTCAATCTGCCGATCAGATGCCTTGCTGCCGAAGGTAGTTCATCGTCATACCCAGGACTGCAGAGCGACGATATACTGGCCGAGTCGACTCGGAATTTACAGACTGTCTCTGTAACAAATGGCAAACTTGAAAATATAAAATTATGTTTGATTTTTCTTGTTTCATATAGACAGATATTTTATTGATTAATACCCAGGTAGAGTATGAAAGAAAGTAATATTTATCTCCATTAAAGAAATTAAATTTCCGAAATCGAATAAAGTTCCCGAGTCTACATATTTGGACTGGATTTTTTTTTCTTTTACGATTCCTTTTGACGAGTCAGGCCGTCGAACTCTGCGTCTCGTGGTGTACAGTTCTGATCAGTAACTGCTAAGTTATTGATCGCATTTTCTCTCCAACGCCACCCGCCACGTGACGTCACTTTCAGAACGGAGTTCGCGGAAAGTTGGTTATGGGCGATGCTGCATTTTGTGGATTTTATTTTTGCAA